GTTGTGCGTGTTGTGACTTCACAAATGCTTTGCTGCATTCCTCGGTTGTAACGACTGGTTATTTCAGTCAAAGTTGCTCTTCTATCAGCTTGAATCAACCGGCCCATTCTCCTCTGACCTCTAGCATCAACAAGGCATTTTTGCCCACAGGACTGCCGCATACTGGATGTTTTTCCTTTTTCACACCATTCTTTGTAAACCCTAGAAATGGTTGTGGGTGAAAATCCCAGTAACTGAGTGAAATACTCAGACCGGCTTGTCTGTCACCAACTACCATGCCTCACTCAAAATCAAATCAAATCAAATCAAATCAACTTTATTTATAGAGCGCTTTCACATGGCCAGAATAGACAAAGCGCTGTACATCAATAAAATGCAACACAATAGGACAGAGATATGACCATTAAAATACACTAAGAAATCCCTGTAAAATACCGTAATAAATCCTATAAAAATATAAATAGCTTAAATCACCTTTCTTTCCCGTTACTAATAACCCTTCAGGTGAGTGTGTGTGTGTGTGTGTGTGTGTGTGTGTGTGTGTGTGTGTGTGTGTGTGTATATGTATATATGTGTATATATATATACATATATATATATATATATATATATATATATATATATATATATATATATATATATATATATATATATATGTATGTATATATATATATGTATGTATATGTATATATACATACATACATACATACATACATACATATATATATATATATATATATATATATATATATATATATATATATATATATATATATATACATGTATGTATGTATATAAATATATATATGTATGTATATACACATACATACATATACATACATACATATATATATATATATATATATATATGTATGCATGTATATATTATATGTATGTATATATACATATACATGCATATATATATATATACATACATACATACATACACACAAACACACTTTTGTAGCACATTACACCTGACAAACACTAGGTAGCAGCATGGGTCCATCATGCTTTGCTGAGATTGAAGCAGAAGTTGAATCTGTGATCTGAATCTCTCACATCAGGATCAGCATCAAACACGTTTTCTCACTTTGAATAAATCACTCCCACCGTTCTCTGCATCTCCTTATTTGCAGACACAACTTCTGTAAATCTTTCCACAAACCAAAGGGAACTTTAAAAGTTTAATCAATGCACCAGTTCACCTAACCTTTCTGATCTGTTGCTCGAGTTAGTGCAGGAAGCCAGGGCTGCAGCTATATCAAAACATCTTAGTGGTGCAACAGCTTTCTGAGAAAATGACAATCTGAGGGATAAGACCGATGTAGTAAAAGGCTGATGCTGGGACAGATAGAGATCTGGTGGTATGTGAAGGCTGTGAGCAGGTAAAACTGGCACTCTGCTGGTCGCGCTCTGCAGAAACATGCCAAGAGGACACGGCGTTTCACATCCAATAAGGATGTTTTGTGTTCTTTTCCACATGTTAACTGGTCACAAATCTGAGCCGGCTACAAGTAGTTTTTTCTGCTTGAAAGGAAATGGGTCAAAGGTCAGGGGTCGTCATGGAGGTCATGGGGAAAAAGGAGGACATCCCCCTTGTGTTGCACATGTGGGTGGTGTCCCAGAAAGAATACTTATAAATAAACAGGAACCCTCTGAATTCCTGAACTTTACTGGTTTCAGTCATCAGTACCCCCCCCCCCCCCCCCCTTTCACTCATACTGGTTTAACAATAAAGAACAATGGTGAGCACTTGAAGTTAAACTGGGAAACGACTCGGGCAGCAGGCTATTGTTGGTGTTATGCATGCTGTTATTAGCCACAACAATCCCTGCTGAGGAGACGGTTTAAAAGAAAGGAGCCAAAAACGACTCATCTGGGTTTGTTTTGCTTTCCTGCTGTATGGCAGGAGCAGAAAATTCCCAGTTTGGGGAACCAAGTTGTTCGGATAAAACATTTAAACATTTAAATTTACTCTGCAGGTTGAACCCCCCTGAAAATGTGCTTCTTTGTGTAAATTTATCAACTTTTTACTAACTTTACGACGACTTTCCAGTCAAAACAGCACTGAAATTTTATTTATCTGAACTGTTTTCACACGAGATGTCCAGAAAAATTAAATTGCAACTAAAATCAGAATTGAGAACAATAGAACAAGTTGTGTCTAACATAAACAACTTTACAAAAATCTTTATTTCTCCCAGAAATTGAACCTTTTTTTAAATATTAAACCCCAGCCTTATTGATGACAGCAGGTTTACTATTTAACTTCCTGATTACCTCCTATGTAGTCCAGGATGTATTGTTCTCAGATCCCTAAACAAAACCTTTAACCCTAAAAAAGGTCCACAAGGTTGTGTAATCAGGGGTCCGTGCTGGACCTGAAGACCCGCAGACAGATGTCCTTCACTAATCAGCGTCTCTAATTTTGGCCAATTTGACTGATTTGGGCACAGAGATGATTAATTAAAGGAAAAAAGCTTTGTGCACAAAACTGATCAATATCTCAGCAGAAGGTGGAGGATTTGGGTCATTCTGACCCGTGATTGGCAGACATTGAACTTTGACCTCCTGCTTTACCAATCAGCATGAGGCAGCCAAAAACCAGACAATTATGTGCCTTCACTTTAATCACTTAATTATCGTTAGCTTTAGCATGAGGAAATGCTACAGGCGTGGTCGCCAAGGCAGAAGTGTCATGGTCTGCGTCTGCGTCTCCCCTCATGTGTCTCCTTATGTTCTCCATCCTTCTCTAGGTTCTCCTTTTGTGTCTCCTAGCGCCCTCAAATGTCCTTGTCTACGTCTTCCTCATGTGTCTCCTGGTGTTCTCCATCCCTCTCTAGGTTCTCCTTTTGTGTCTCCTAGCGCCCTCATGTGTCCTTCTCTGCGTCTTCCTCATGTGTCTCCTGGTGTTCTCCATTTTCCCCCAGATCTTCAGCCTCTAGGTTTCCCTCCTCAGGTATCCCTCTCCCAGGTCCTGTGCTCCCGTGGCCCCCTTTAGTCACACCCCTGTAGTTTCTTTCTGTAGTGTTTTTCCTTTAGTTTCAGCTTCCCTCTTAGAATATTAGTTATGTTTGCTGCCCTTCTGGTCTTTAGGTTTTTCTCTTAAGTCATTTTCCTTTAGCTACAGCTGTTCATGTTATTAGTCTCTCTAGTGTGTTTTTCCCATCGGTGTTTGAGGTTTTTCTCCCCCCTTAGATTATTAGTTATGTTTGCTGCTCTTCTTGTCTTTAGGTTTTAGTTTTAGGCCATGTTAGTTTCCTCCCTGATTAGTAATTGAGTTCACCTGGTCTCTCTCTCCCCACACACACCTGTAGTTCATCTCCCTCTCATCCTCCCCAGTGTATAAAACCCTGTCTGTGTCTCAAAACCTGTCCACACGTAGCCGGGGATCTGCCAAAACGTAGATATTTTTCTACGTTTTGGCCTGTCATCCACAGGAAAACAGAGTTTTTTCACATGAAAACGGATCATTTTAAAAACTCCGGCCAAAGTGAAGATCTGGGTTTTCTCCATTTTGGGTGTCTGCGTGTGGACAGACAAAACCGGAGTTTTAAGGTCTGCAACGTCACTTTCCGCGAAAACAAAATGCTCACATCACAGCATGGATGCCCTCAGAGCTGCTCTCGCTTTATCAATTGTCCAAGCGCTATTTGCTTGTTTGTTTTTGCAAGCGGAATTACTGCTCCTTGCGGAAGACCACAGACGAAGGACGAGGTTAAGAACGGGGGAAGTACTGCCGCCTACAGGTCTGGCATGTCCTTAACAACGTATTTATCTGGGTACGTGTGGACAGTTTTTTTTAAACGAGGTGGTGTGGATGCAAGTTTTTGGCGGGGCGGATATTCGTTTAAAAAAAACCCGGCTACGTGTGGACTAGGCCTAAAACCCTGTCTGTGTTGCAGTATTTTGTCAGTCCATTGTTTGGTGTCAGCATTGTTTTGTGCCTCGTCATTAGGTCTTTAGGTTTTTGTGCTCATTAATGAGCTTAGTTAGCCTGGCAAGCCAGACTAAATGAATGTATTATTTAGTCTGGCCATGCTCCATTGACGGCTCTCGGTTGTGGGGCGGGTTCTACCGTTGTCTTTCAAATGATCTACGCATTCCACTGGACAATGAATGTGACATATTCTTGTTTCACTCTGTTGCAGCGTCCCACCCACCAGGCATTTAGAGTGCCCTGATTGGCCCACAAAGCAGATAAAGCTCTGTGATTTGTTCACTAAGCAGATAGAGCACTATGATTGGCCCACCATTATGGACCAATCACAGCTCTTTATGTGTTTGAAACCCCTCTAGAGAGTTGTGATTGGCTAGCCAGAGTCCTGGTAGGAGCTGCTGAGGGTCCAATGGAGCATGCCTAGACCATTCTTTGCAAAGCAAGAATTTGGTCTATTTCACTAGGCTAGAGCTTTGTGTCTCCAGGGTTTCAGGACATTGGTTTTTGGCTTCCTGCCCTTTTGGAACATTTTGGTTCTCCTTCCTAATAAAGGAATGTTTTCATTTACGTACTCCTGCCTCATGTCGTTCTGGGTGTCTGCATATTGGGTCCAAACCTCCTCCAGGCTCCCAACGTGACAAGAAGTGAGTTTGTGAAAATGCTATGGAAACCGCTCTATTTGACCTCCGACCCTTGTGACCCAAAGGGTCAAACTGACCACTTTTCACATCAACACAAGAAGACCTGGCCCCTGAATCCTTATTCTAAGTTGTTTTCATCACCCGAAGCCGCCACACACCTTTAGATTGCTGATCAGATCTCATGTCTGCTAATTTTAACAAGATTAGAGCGAAGTAGGTTAATCTCAGACATAATCTTTGGTGTCAGGGCTGACACATGTTATGGTTCTTGTGTCCTGATTCAGAGGCTGAACATATGAAGACATCAAACGAGCCCGGGCGTGTGACCCTGGAGTCAAAGTCTGACCCCAGCTGGGAGATGGGAACATGACTGTCATTCATTAGACTGCACTTAGACTTTTTCATTTGCATCCCAGGAAATTATTTTTGGGTCACCTTCTCTTTAGAGATAGCTGGATGAGCAGATTTTATTTCTCAAAAGCTACTTTTGTCATATCAAAGTTAATTTTACAACGATAAGTTTTTTTTTCAGAAAAACACAAGCCTTCACATAAATTTGGATTTATTTTTATATTTCTGCAGGAAAATCAACAGTTAATCGTAATTGAACTCACTATGACTGTCCCCACTGGTCAAAAACAACCCACACAGCAAGCAGCAGCATCTCTTTTTTAGTTTTTAAATTGAAATCATGCGCAAAATCCTACATCTGTTTTAGGAAATCATCAGAATGGCGCAACTTTAAGAATATCTTTTGAAACGCCAAAGACATGAAAACAATAGCTGAATATTCAGTATTTGAACTAATTAGAAGCAAATTTCCCACATTTTATTTATTATAGGGGGTGAAGGAGTCGGTCATTGTGTTTTGTTACCGGTGTTGCAGCCGGGGCGGGGCCGTGCTTCTCCCCCCAACCTCCCCCCGCCTCTGATGCGCAGAGAAGGGGCTTACCCGGATCTGGCGCTGCTGCAGACATTTCTGCGGCTCCTCCCTGCGCCTTTTATCGCCTTATAACAGGATATCTCACTGGCGCGAAAAACGCACAGTGTGGCTCTTTTATTGTGAGGGCGGGCGGGTCCGCCGTCTGTTGTTTGAGTCCTCCTCGTTTTGTCCTTCCTTGTAATTTCTAATTAAACTAAAAACTAAACTGAGGAACAAACAAATAAAGGGCGCGTTTGATCCGAATCGGGACAGCTTCTTCTACCGACAAACAGAGGACTATTTGTCGGCTTTAGAGGATTTTTATGCCCCGAATCTCGTGTTTGGATTAATCAGCTGAGATCCGGTGAGTAGTTTACCACGTTTTTATTGAGGGGAAAAGAGCAGATTTGATGGGATTTGACGCACGCTCTGACCGAATAGTTCACTGGAGCAAAGCTCGCCTTTAACGCAGTTTTACTCTTTATACTTCATGTGAGTTATCTGATTATTTGAGCTAAAGTAGACAATTATGTAATATCACTGTGTGCAGCTTGTGTCCAAAGAGCGCATCCGCAAGATGCGATCAATTATTAACGCGTCCCATTTGTTGACGCGTTGCTGTTCCGGGATGTGGTGTCCCATTATGGATATCTGATCTGTGATGGGTCTTTCTTCTGTCTGCAGGATCCACGTTTGATAATTTCTGGTATTTGTTGGCGCAGCTATGGAGTTTGACTGCTACCAGCCGTATTTCTTCGATGCTTTGGACATGGAGGAGGATTTCTACAAGTCAACCGCGCCGAGTGAGGACATATGGAAAAAGTTTGAGCTGCTGCCCACCCCTCCCATGTCCCCCCACCGGACTCTGCACCTCTCCCCGGGGGACAAGCTCAGCTGGCTGTCCATGGTGCTGGGTCAGGACGAGGACTGGGGCGCGCAGTTCCTGTCAGGCGCGGAGGACCACAGAGACCACATCATCCAGGACTGCATGTGGAGCAGCGGGCCAGCCTGTAAGGACATGGTCGCAGGAAGGGTGCCCGCCGTGGCGCAGACCGGAGCCCTCCCGACGGCGACCGCCAGACCTAGCAAGGCGCAGTGCGCATCACCGGGGGGCTTCCTCTCCACAGCCACGGACTGCGTCGACCCCGCCGCCGTGCTCACCATCCCCGCCAGCAGCTGCAGGAAGCCGGCGTCGTCTGGTTCCGAGTCTCGCTCCGACTCCTCTGGTAAGGAGGCACGCTGCGCCGCCCCACCCCGCCCTGCCTCGGGATTAAATTGCCCGCTAACAATAGGTTATCTGGAGCTGAACTCCGTCACCCCGTCAGATAGACAGGGCTGGATTCTTCTTACTTCCGATGCTTCCTTTGGAAAAAAACCGCGCCCTTATCACTTTTATGCGAACTCACTCCCCCCATTTATTTAATCTTTAACTGCAACACGACCAGGGCGGGGTGGAAGGGCGGTTGTGGTTGCATGCTCTATTGCTCATGCACCCATTAAACATTAACCAAAATGAAGGGAATCCCTCCTAAAGTAGTTTTAAGTCCAATTCCTGTTAACTTTACTTCCCTGTAGCTGTTTGGTTAAAATTTAAACCCAGTTTATGGGAATGTGGAGCTTTTATTGTGAAATCCATTTTAAATCTTTCTTCCTTCTGGTCCTGACAGATGATGAAGAGGAGATTGATGTGGTCACCGTGGAGAGCAAGCAGAACCGAATGAGACTGGTCCGGAAACCCGTCACCCTCACGGTCCGTGCTGACCCCTGCCCCAAACGCTTCCACGTGTCTGTCCACAAGCAGCAGCACAACTATGCAGCCCGCTCCCCAGACAGCGACCCAGAGCCAGACGAGGAGGAGGAGGATGATGAGGAGGAGGAAGATGACTATGACGAAGAGCCAAACAGCAAGCGCACATGTGCAGCATCCCACCTGCAGCCAGCATCCCCGTCGGATAGTTCCCAAAACTCAGACGCTGAGGACACTGACCGCAGGCGAAACCACAACTTCTTAGAGAGGAAGAGGAGGAACGACCTCAGGTCTCGCTTCCTGGCTCTGCGAGACCAGATCCCCGGGCTGGAGTCGGCCAAAGCTCCTAAGGTGGCCATCCTGACGCAGGCAACAGAGTACCTCATGAAGCTGCACATCAGGGAGAAGCGGCAGCTGCAGGAGAAGAGACGACTCCGGTCCAGGCAGCAGCAGCTCCTCCGCAGACTGTCTGAACTCCACTGCTCATGAGACTCCAACCTGAGACAAGCTGCCTCATTCTCAGTCACTTTCTAAAGCTACACAAACATGCCTCATGTACATAGCTGTGAATTAGCCTGTTCCTCCTGAGATCCTGTTATGGGGAGGAGAGTTTAGCTCCGTGTGCTGATTTTTTTTTATTCTTTGCACATATTCTTTATTGTGAATAAGATTTACAAGAATAGTTTGAGACCTGCAGGCGACGATGTAAAACTTTAAACTTGCAGCTGAGTGGAAAGCCTTTGTTTTCATGTCTTCATTTCACCGTTGCACGAGGAATGATGTGTAAATATTTGATTACCAAATGTACAAATCGTTGCGTAAATAATGTCATATTCCTCCTGCTGATGGAGGCAGGACTGCTTCCTGCTCCACTGGGTCACCAAACATATTTTATTAAGAAAATGGCAAAATTGACAAAAAGGGTGGAGTAGCACTGCTGTACTTTATTCACATGTCACTTTTCAACGCTTCTCTGATTTTGGTTGTGTTTTTATTTTTTTAAAGCATGCTAACTTCAATAGCATTATTAAAAATTTTATACCAGATTTGCTTAAAACAAGATGTGTTTCTGTTTTTATTCAGTTATTCTGCATTTTGATCTCATATGATTAGATTTATTGTTTCCCAGTGACATCAAAATAAGGGACGGGTCATCAATGTTAGTCTAAACAGCTTGGTGTGCAACTTTGAGTTATTTATCTGAAGTGTTTTGTGCGCCAGCTGCTGCTCTTCAGAAGGTTAGAGTGAGTCCGTCCTTCAGACTCGCCCTTGAGAAGAGCGTGTGTGTGTGTGTGTGTGCTGTGGATCCTCCCCTCTGCAGTGGCTGCCGCACGCTGGGCACCTGATGTGCGCAGAAGTAGGTCACACTCACATAAACAATCTTTTAGGACCTTGTGTGACGCGTTGTTGGGAAACTGGTCACAGGCCAGGCACGTGGTAGTAAAATCTCACTCTCAAATCAACTCCGTAGCGCAAAATATTCAAATGATTAGCTGGTGAGTACGATTTCCCCGAAATAGAATTATTTTTGTGATATTCCCTGGGACGATAAATATTAAATCTTCAGAGAAAACACAACACAATAAAAACAACAGTATTAGGAAATTTCAGACAGCAGTTATGCTGTAAGAGAGTACTGTTGGCTTCAAAAAACTAAAAACAAATGGAAACTTAATGGCATATCTGTGCAAGAAAAGATTGATTTTAAATCATCTTTGTTAGTTTAACACTTATTCACATTCTTTATTCACCAAAATGCGCAAAAACAAAAAAATCTCTTCTTGGTTTTCCAATAAATTAAAACCGATCCTGATTTCAACACATTTCAGTTCCAAAAGCATAAAAAAAACATTAAAAATTGTGGAATTTTCTGCAGCTAAACCATATTTTTCTGCTAATTTTGCAGTTATAAACATTAAATTGCATTCTTGCAGAATACTTCCTCTGAACATGGACCTCATGTTTCCTTTCCCCTGCAGACTGCTGAGTTAATTCAGTATAATTCTGACCTGAATGCCTAACACAGGATGACTTCATACGGCGCTGATGCTGCTGCCCTGACAGAGAGGATGACTTCATCGCTGATGGGTCTCTGCAAGCCTGAATGAGTCAGCTTTGAGCTCCTGTCATTTGCTTAATGAACTCAGAGCAGCCATGTGGCTCTGGTAGTCCAGCCTGCTTAACGGGCCCGGCACACCCTGAGCACCAACCGTCCTTCTGGAGTTTGCTCAGCTTTCTCGGTGCTGCTGGGAATGGTTGTTGTTGTTTTACCTGTTTGAGCTCCCTCTGCCTCCAGGCCACTGAATAACTTACCCGACGTTTAATCTCAGGACTTTCAAGGACATGTTGACCTTGCCATCTGACTGTTCTCAGCTTCCTTCTGTAAACTAAAACCGGTAACACCCACCTGGTGGACAGCAGCGACTCCTTAGATTATCACCAACTGCTGCAGCGATGCTCCTACTTTCACCAGTAAGTGAATGCAGATATCAGATCTCAGGTTTGGGTCCCGTAAAGGAAAACTCGTATCCTGTTACAAACACAAACTTCATTTGGAGATATGAATAAGCAAAACAGCAGAACATAAAAGAAACTTTAATCAAAGTTATCAGAACTCGTGCCAGCGTTTTGCATTTCATATAATCGTCCAACTTATTACAGGAGCATGCAAAGCTCTCAGGTGGTTGGTGCGAATTAAAATATTACTGGTCTTGAGCAAAATATCATATCATTTATGTCTCTTCTGTTATGGAAACTGAGATTAACACGCAGCTGTAAACGCCCCGTGTTTTTGAGTTTGTGCTGGTTTAAGGTCCTCAGATCTCTTTTCTCTGAATTTCCTCACAGTCATTTATGACACCAGTTCCACGAAAGTCCAAACTCATAATAAAAACACTGAAGTTGGTTTTGTTTTGTTCCAATCAAACTTTTTTTCTCCTTTAGGAAACAAAGTGGAAGGATCTCTTTGTCCTGATGTTTTGGGCTGTTCTGGCGGTTAACTCGCCCGACCAGATTTTCTGCCCATGCACAACAACATCTGAGGTGCACGTGACATTGCTGGTGCACACCTATGACCTTGTTTCCTTCCATCATATACTCTGATCCTCTCTTCAATGGAATATTCTTACTTTTTCTGCAAAATACGAACCAATTTAATGTATTTAATGAGCACATATTCAGCTGCATAAAACTGAGGAACACATTTTCTGTCAAGTTTGCACAAAAGTGCAAAAGTTGCATTTTACATTTATAATCAACCAGCATCTTCTCATTTCATTCAGACTAATCACTCAGATCACCAGAGTGCTTTTCTACTAAGGCCTTCTTGAATGAAAAGATTTAGGACTAGATTTAAAACAGCTGATGTGAGTAATTGTGCGTGAATCCAAAGACAGCAGGTTCCAGAGCAACCTCTCAGCGATTAAACTTAGTTTTTGGTACATTCAGGAGAAACTGAGATGAAGCTCTCAGAGATATGCCACTGTCACTGACACCAAAAGTCAGTAAATCTGAGGGCCAAGCCCAAACAAGAAAAGCTTAAAATCTATTCAAAAACATACAGACAGGCAGTGGATGGACAGTAAAACCTGGGTTATGTGCTCACATCTTGAGTTGAGTTTTGCTAAAACGTGAAAAAAGCTCGACGTGACCATGGAGTCAACTTGTTTATGAATTTTAAAATCCTTGTCAAATCCTTGACACCTGATCTTTTGTTGTGTTGCTAAATTTAAAACCCAAAGTGCTAACCCCTCTCACCAAACAGGAAGTATTCTGTCTTTTGGTCATTCATCAAAAGGGAGTTTTTATTGTGCCACTGTTTAATAGTGGAAACCATCAGAAATGTTGAAAGATGCTGCTACTTAAGGAGAAGTAAATCTTTAGTCATCTGCATAAAAGTGGAGTTAGATTGAGTTATGATTAAAGTAAGAAAACTAGGGGGCCAAGAGTGGAACCCTGTGGCACTCCACATGACAGGGGAGCACTGGAGGATGATTTATTAATGATGACAGAGAAAGATGCAAAGTTGGAAGTGAATCATTTAAACACTGAGCCATAAAAACCACCATAGTTGTCCAGGCGAGACAGAAGAACGGTGTGGTCAATGGCACTAATGATATTTTTTAGATGAATGACGCATTAATCACCGATCAGTCTATGAAAAACTGTTATTTTGTTTCTGCCCTGCTACTTTTGCCACTGTTAAAAAACAAGGACTCTACTTGAAAAATTAGCAATCAATCAAGCAGCTGAGCACTTTCAGTTTTTTTTGGCACCATTCCCTGTCTCAAAACCAGTTGTGCTTGCTGCTCCGGCATTTCTTACAGATGAAGCGGCTCCGGATAAAAGAGTCCTGTGAAAAACCAGTGGTCTGTCGCCACCTTAGCTACGGGCAGGTATGAAATTTCATCAGCATAGCAAAATGGTCAACTTTCACAACTCTTAACATGCTCTTGTTGAAGAATCTCCTACCTCAGCAAAAATTTAAAGAGTAGAAAACACAGACATGTTGAGCAACACATGCACGGGCCTGGTTTGTGTTGTGTGTATACAGAATGTTGTGTGTGTAGTGTGTGTGTGTGTGTAAACTCAGAAAAGCAAAGGAAACAGACCATAAACAGTCTGCACTGATTGTGATCATGAGGTACCGCACAACTGGCTGCTTATCTCTGACCCACATGTTGGGGTAAATAGGGCATGTGATAAAGGGTAACCTGGGGTGGCTCTGAGCTTGATTTTGATTTTGAGCAGCACAGATTGATTTCTGGAGGTCGTGTGTGTGTGTGTGTGTGTGTGTGTGTGTGCATGTGTGTTCTTCAGAAAACAGGAGAAGTGGACTGACCATCATCCTTTTCTTACTCAACATCCAAAACACTCCCTTCCTCTTATTCTATTCTGAAAAGGCTGACAGTCAAGGAAGATGTGGAAAACACAGCCGGGAAATCAGCCCTGGTTCACACACACACGCACACGCACACGCACACGCACACACACACACACACACACACACACACACACACACACACACACACACACTGCAGGAAAACTTTCCCTGACCACAGTTGTTAAACTCCACTGACCCACATTCCTGCCTGGTTGTGTCACTGCAGCTCACAGCCACTCTGCCTCTGGTTTCGAGTGGAGCAGCTCAGGAATATTCAGGCATGGAGACCCGTTCTTCCCACGTTTGTCTGGATTTCCTCTCTTTTCTCCTTCCCTGTCAGCTGGCCTCTGCCCCCTCCACAGGTACTTATCTCCACCGTTTGTTTATCTAGGTCAGTCTCCTGCTTTTGGTCTCTCTCTCTCTCACTGCTCCGTGCTGCTTGCCCTCCCCTGGCGAAGGCCCGTGTTACATAACAGTGATGAATCAGTCCGAGCAGGCTTTACATGTTCCTCTCAGATAAATCTGGCCCCGGCTGCCTTTTCTTTAAACCCCAGGCAGCCACTAAACCAACAGGTGTGTGTAGCGTAGCTCACCAGGCGTTTGTTTCAGATTTTTTCATTGAGCACATTTTTAATAGTCTTTAGAAACAACCCCTCTTTCTCGTAGAGTTTGAGAGATAAACTCAAGACAACTAATCTGAAGCTAATCCTAATCCCGTTAGTGCAAACGCTGGTGCCATCTGTGCCCAGACACACTACAGCTCTGATGATAATGAACCCATCAAAAGGTCTTTACATCACCATAGGCGAGCGGCGAGTGACTCGTGTAAAAGGATGGATGAACTTTCCTCCAGTTAATGAATAAACAAACCAACACACACGAGCGTGCTCCAGTAATGCGTTTCTATGGTGGCCTCTGGAGAATCAGTGGTACCCTGAGTGATGTAACCAGGTGGTTTAATGGATAAACTACATGATGGGGGGGTGCAGGGCTCGAGTAACACCGGCTGTGTTGCCACCTCCCTGGCAACCCCTCACCTACCCATGATTGCTGCATATGTGAGCTCAAAAAACCTGCTCCTAGATCTTTTATGTTTCAGTTTCACTGAGTGTGATTCTATCGCACCAGCGGCCTACAAGAGTCAGAATAATGTTTAAAAACCAC